CCCCTAAACTTAAGGAATCCTTTGGCCTCAGCATCCCAACTAGATGGAACTATATATTTGTGAGTCACTGCTGCTGTTTCTGATATACATCTTCACTATTTTGCTATAGGTAGAGGAATACAGTGAATAGTAATTGGTGGAGTTCCTCCACTAGTACCATTTTAGAGACTTTAAATGGAAATAATAATACTTGTCTTTAGCTTACACTATATATATATAGATGTATACACTATATGTATACATCTATATATAGATAGATATGCAGTCACTAATTCATTAGCATTAAATATATGTTACATATCTGACAAAATACTGGAATAAAATTTAATACAGTAGGAAGAATCTTAAGCGAAAATATAAAGCATTCCTATATATACAGAAAGTTTCTTGAGATCATCAATAGTTGTCATTTGTTGAGCTTTAACCTATCCAGCCAGGGTACCCTATGCCTTATGTAGATTAATGAAATCTTTTGACAAAATTACCATGTAATTCATGGTAACCATTATTAAAAGATGAAAAAGGGGTTTTGAAGAACTCTATCCCTCCATTTTTTGAGAATCTCATGTAGATCTTTCTGGTTTCATATTCATATGTAGCTGAGGATGAGCTTGTTGCCAAGTCTGATGACCTAAATCAGATCTCTGGAACCCACAGGGTGGAAGAAGAAAACCAACTCCTATAAGTTTTTCTTATGTCCATGTGTGCACTATAGGACATACATGCATACTTGAGTAAGTCATTGCACATGCATGCACACACACACCACATAAATGCTCATGTACACACACACACACACACACACACACACACACACACACACACACCATGCCACAAATACAATGAGCAAATGTAATGAAAGGGAAGAAAAGGCGTGGGATGGGATCTACTGTCAAAAAAGAAGAAACTGGTGAGAAGGCAAAGATAATGAGTAAAGAGATCTCCATACAGTAGAACCAAATGGAGAGAAGGTTGGTTTGACAAGGAGGAAAGAAGAACTAACAAATTAATTAGGAGCCATTTAAATGGTCTAGGGAAAACTAGAAACTGCTGGAATTCAGGTATTAACAAATGAGATTGAAAGGCCAGGAAAGGCAAGGGCAGATGATTTTTGGAGGGAGACATATGTCAATGAAACTGCTCTATGACAGACTCTCCGAACAGGATCTGTAGCCATTAGTGCAGAGCACTCAGACATACCAGTGTTTGAGATGTTTGAGTAACTTCAGGTAAGGTACTTAGTTTTCACCTCAGGACCCACATATGTGAAAGGAAAGGAATAAGGGTGACAAGCTTATAGTCTTTTCTTTGTAAATTATCTAGCACATTGCCTGGAAATGGCAAAACATTCAATTAATCTAGCTGTTATTAATAGTAATAGACAGTAAGAAGTGATCATATTTAGATGGAGGAATAAAGAGGGACAGATGGTAGTTCTCTACCCTGTTTAAGAACTCTTATTCTTGGGGTCTGCCCTCCAAGTCCACTGCCTGCAAATACCAAGTTGGCAAGCCTTGTACATAAGCACACTGTCGTTCATTTCTTGCCACTTAATACAGTGACTGGCTCCAAAGTGATGGGTTTTTTTGGTTTTGTTTTTTGCATGGTACTGCATGCATATGTAGTGTTGTAGGAGAGGGTGGAATTTCCAAATTAAGAATGAAGAGCCTGGCCATGGGCAGAACCTGTATTTATTTACAGTGGTGAAAGAGAAGTTGCTTCCAGAAAAGCTGGATAGTCCCTCTCTGCTGCTCAGGAATGAAGGCAAGTTAGTGTTGCAAGTTGCCCCCAGTCCAGGAGGAAGAGGAGACTAAAAGAAGAACCAAATGTACTAAGCATTGCTTCAGAGAGTGCGGCTTCACGAGCCTGTGGACAGAATGCAGATAGCAGAATTACAGTGTAGATGGTATAAGAAGGTAGAGACATTGTTTTGGGCATGCATGGATTTCTCTTTCAAGAAGCCCATGGTAAAGGTAAGCAGGGGTGATTAATTTTAATGTGTTGTGGGTTTAAGCGTTTATTGTTGTTCCTGAGCATTGAGGGGAAGAGTTACAAGGTAGGTTAGAGGGATGGGGTAGCTCCTGCAGCATGTTCTTGAGAGCTGAGTGGATGAATTACAAGGTAGGTGAGGGGGTGTGCTAGGTCCTGCAGATAGGTCCACAGTAGTCAGCCTAAACACTGCTTCCTGCAGGGAGAGGTAGGGCTAGCTCAGTGAAGCTTCTGCAGCCTTCCTCCTTCCTGGTGTTCAGAGCTTCTCATTCAATGTGTACAGTGCAATGTGTACAGGTCCTGTGCAGAGTTCCCAGCAGAGTAGAAGTACTCCAGCATTAGCTGATGGAAGAAGAGTAAAAGATATTCACAGGAATGAAGGTTCTTCCACTGCAGCTCAAAAAGCTGTCTCCCTGAAGCACATGGACACTTCTGAGGCTTAACCAGATTTGATAGTTTATGATAACCTATTTTGTAAGTATTCCTGAGCTGGTGGATGATCACATTGGTTCTGGTCTGTTGTGAATAAATAGTATGTCAAAGTTTTATGCTATTTCAAAAACATTATTTAAACAAAACTTCCCTTGAAGCCACAGTAGTCTCTTACTCAAAATATGTATTAAGCTGTATTGTTTAAGTATATATAATTCTCTTAATAAAGAACTGTGGTCTATGCAAGTCTGAGTTTTAAAAAGGTAGGTTTTCTGGAATTTATAGAACTACAAAATGCCTATCCCCGGCCTTAAGGGTTTATATATAAAAATTTTGGGGTGTTCCTGTTTTTGTATTTGCATATAAAAGGAAAAGAATCCATAAAATTTTAAGAAAGCATTTGAAAAGATTTAGTTCTCAGATGAACCAAATGAATCAAGTTACTTAAATAGTTATGAATGAATGAATGAATGAATGAATGAATGAATGAATGAGTTAGCCAGTGCTAGTTGTGTGTGTGTGTAACTAACATATCTTTTACTTGGTTTTGTTTTCATTACTACTAAAATTGAATGTTTGCTTTAAATGATATAAAATAAAAATTTGGCAAAATGATTAGTATCAAATTAATGATTCAAAGTGATTGATGCCATTTATTCTAGAGTTAAATATTGTCCTTGGAATATAATTTCTTTTTATTATACACTTCTTGATTTTGATAAATCAGAAGCTTTAAAAATTATTTACTAATGTACTTCAAGTATTTTTAATGTTAATATAGTCTCCATATCTGAGCTTATAACTGGATACTTTGAAAAGTGTCTGTTTTTTAGTGGAAACATTTTATCCTAAACTTTTGTTTTGGTCATAGTACAATGAAATCTTGATATCATTAGTAAATCAGCATGTCATATGAGTAAGCTTTTTGTCAACATGTTCTGATATATCTTAGTATGGGAATTGGAAGAGTATTAGAAGATTGTTTCTCCTTGTACTCATCTAGTCCTTTAATCATTAAAACATGCACCCAACTTTTATAACCTAGATTAGGTACAATCTGATGACTGGCATTAGAAGAAACTGAAATATCAGATGGATTGTGCAATCGAGTATCTCTTTAGTGCGGAACAAAAAGGAGAATTAAGCCTGAGGGAGAATAGGCTGAGGACCTTTCACATCTAAAATGGGGAGGTACCCATAGATAGAGCATTCATTAGTGAAACAAAAAGTCTAATCCTGCATGGCCTGTACATAGGGAGAAGTCCATTGAGTCTATCGTTGCAGACGGAGTTGGCCCAAATGTGTTAACAGTATATAGAGCACTGATACAAGGGAAATAATTGATGTAAAACCCAAATGCTTTCGGGAAGGTGAGCTTTTGGAGTATGTAAGTGTAGCTGTCTGGTACCTATCTGCACTTTCAGGTAACTAGCCCTCCTTGGAGGATCCCCACCACAGCCCAATCATCCTTGATTAGATCTAAAGCTCTAGGGAAATGTTTTCCAGCAGTTCAGATAGTCACAGTAGATTGTTAATTTGTTAGTGATCAACCTATTAAATACCTCCTACATCTAGAATTTCCATGCAAATAAAAGTCATATATATATGTATATATACACACATATTATATTATGTATTATGTATTAAATGTATTATGTATTAACTGGTGTCTTGTGGCACAGGTCAGCAGGTTTAGCACAGTTCCTAAGCATAAGTTTCAGTCATAGAAAGTTATGCTCCATTTATGGAGCTTTCTAAGAATTCACTTTATAATATGACTAGTGAGATTATTTTTAAATTGCTTATACAGAATCAAAAGGTGTGTGTGTGTGTGTGTGTGTGTGTGTAAGAGAGAGAGAAAGAGTGAGAGAGACAGAGAGAGACAGAGAGAGTGTGTGTGTGTGTTCTAGGATAGAATTGTACTTTTCCAAGTGTAGAATCTTTATGTAAACATTTTTCTGTTTTATATCTGATCTCAAAATAAAGTTTCAACTTACTTTCTTGTCAGCATTAAGATAAAATGATTGCTTTTATTTTAAAATAGGGATGAAACTAGAATCAATAAGTCAAAAAAACCAAGAGATTGGGAAATGATAGTCATATGCATTTAAATGAAAGCTAATAAAAGGGATTTTTCTAATAATAAAAGTTTGTCTCCCATATTTTGCTTTTATAAATATTTCCCTTAGCCAATATTTGGTTGGTATCTTCTTGAGCATGTGCTTTCTGTTTTGCATCTTTGTGGAGAAGTTAAGTAAACATATACAGCAGCAGCAGACTTGTTTTTTCTCTTTTGGAGATCCAGTGTTAGAAATTCTGTGGAAACATAATCCTTTATCCAAGTGGACTCCCCTTGTTTTACTTTTGTATTTAAAGACTTAAACTATTGTGGTCATGAATGTGCCTTGCTTTCTCAACCCTTTGTTGTAAAATATTTTTATATAAAATCTATTTTAAAGTCTTCAGAACTTTATCAACATAAAACCTTTAAAGGTAAAGATGGGTACTATTTGCTGAAATCAATGAGAAATAAATTGCTTTGGAACCAATGCTGATGTCTTCTGCTCCTCTGTTTTCAGGCCATCCGCTGCACACTGGTAAACTGCACGTGTGAGTGTTTCCAGCCGGGGAAGATTAACCTTCGGACTTGTGATCAGTGTAAACATGGCTGGGTGGCACATGGTGAGAAAAATCTAGACTCCTCTTTCCATTGTTCTTGTTATGTCTGTGTGTATGCATGCACATGTGCGCATGTACAGTGTTTGGTTGTTGTTGTTTTAAGTGTAGTCGTTGACCTGGAAAAGAGAGCAGTTAGCTGTGCTCCAAGTGTTAGTTAACATTCATCCTACAGCTCTCAAACAGCATATTCTCCTTCCCAGGAAGAAAGAAAAGGCAGGCAGCTCTCAGCAGAAGGGCGAGATGTTTATAGAATACTTGGGCAGTGGGGTTCTTACTGAGCACAGCAGCAGCCAACAAGTACCAGGCCTGATGGAAACTCAAACATACCACAGTTGGCCTTTCAGGGCCTGGACCTCAGAGGGTAGTTGGCAAATCTTCCTTGCTTGGGAACTCCTCAGTGACTGCGGGCCCTTGTCATATGTGCTGAGTTTATCCTTCCAGATGTTAAACCCTGTAGGGTTTAAGGAGAGTGAGCAAGTGGCTGGTATCTGAAAATGTAACCTGTAAATACCCCTTCAGTGTGCCCTGTGATTAGAGGAGGCCCAGGTTGTTGAAGACTACACTATGTGTAGGTGCCATTGGAGTGAGGGTGGCCCAAGCAAAGATTCTAGAGTGGAGATTGTTTGCCAGGTACGAAGTGCTGTTCCATCAACGTGGTTTTACTGCATAATTTAACATATTATTGCATGTGGTTTATGTTTATTGTATTTCAGCAAAAGGAGACATGGAAATAAGCAGACATTTTCTCCACCTCCTAGACTGTGTAATTTTAAAAGATAGGTAATGTTTATAGAGGAAACCCTGGCTTGAGTTTTTTGACAGCCTCGGGTATTGGCTCTTAAGTGGACATACTCTTCATTCCCCAGCAGTGCCAAACATTCAGTGGGTTGTATTTTTTATAAATGTCATGTTATTCTAGCAAGATCTGAGGTAACACCACAAGGCCATGTCTTGAAATGCTTTTAATTTATCATGTACCTCACTTGCTTGGGCATGTGTGTTGGAGTTGTAGGAACCTCTGGGCTGTGTTTCCATAAGAGAGATAGTAGCATAAGGGAAAGATACTGGAAGGAGTATGCTTGGGTGCCAGGGCCACAGTCCTGATATCAGTACTTCAGGGATACAAAGCCAAGATGTTTAATACTTATCCCAGTGGAACCACTGCTGTGGTGGCAGATTGCAGTGCTACTAAAGGACATTTTTTCCTGTACTGGTTTCCTAGGGCCTCTACTCAAAACTTCCTGAATCATGAAGGATGATGAGGCTGGTGGAGGCAGTGTGGGTGTAGACTCTTCTGAGGTGGCTGGGTGTCTTAAATAATAGAAGTTTATGTTCTTGTAGCTCTGGAAGATAGTTCCTGGAGGTCAAGTTGTTAGCAGGGTTAGTTTTATTCTGAGGACTTTTTAGTCTTTAGATGACTGTCTAGCATGGTCTTCGCCTCTAGTGCTTCTGGATTTCATCATCTTACAAGGGCACCAGTCAGACTTGTTGCTGAGAGCCACTTCAAGGGTCTCATCTTAAGTTTATCACATCTTTTAAGGCTACATATATAACTACATTCCAAAATACCAAGATGTGGCTTCAAGTATATGAATTTTGGGGAGGAGCACAAAATGGCCCATGACACCTTTCAGACATCCTTTTTTGTTCCCTGGAAGAAATTGTTTGTGTGTCTGTGTGTCTGTCTATCTGTGTGTCTGTGTGTCCTGTGTGTGCATCCAAGTATGCACTCATGTACTCATGATCCTCTTATTGCAGTCTTTGGTGTGCTGGACTTATAGACATGCATGGCTTTGCCTCACTGAGGGCATTGGTATGCTTGGATAGACTTGCACCACTGCGCCTAGCTGGAAGTATTGGTTTTGCTAGGAAATAATTAGAGACTGTATGCTCTTTACCCATCACATGAGGTCATTGAAGGCAGGGTGATGTAGGTTCTTCTAAGAGTCTCTCTACTTTAATGGTGTGTTACTTAATATGACCCTTAGTTTTCTTACTTGTAAATTACGGTACTAATAGCAGTGTTTTAGTACTGGAGGTGTAGCTCAGTGCTAGAGTATGTAGTTAAGCATTTATGAAGTCCTGGGTTCTCTTGTCAAATGCTACTTTATAATCTTACAGTGGAAAACCAGTGATAACATGAAAGCTTCAATAAACACTCTATATGAAATACATATTGGGCAGAATTTGAACAGTAAAGAGAGGTTAATAATTAAACAAAGGACTTTTATTTTCCATGCAGAGCCTTCTTGTATTAGCATCATCTATCTGCTATGGAAGTCGCTAGAGACTAAGTTGACCATGTCACTAGAATTTGTTTTATATATCTACTTCCATGTGCATATTACATTAGTTGGGTAGTAAAATACAAATGCTGTTTTTATCCCTTCCTGAAAAACATGTTTTAGTCCTGGACAGTGAGGGCTTTTTTATTTTGAGACTTTTTGAAGTATATTTGAGTTTTTACCATCTTAAATAAGATGTTCCTATTACAGTAAACTCTGCTTTCCCTACTGTATTATTACAAATGCTTTTGCTAAGATATTAATTTGGAGGTTTCTCAGATCTAAGTAAAGTCAATTCCAAAATTGTTTCCCTCATAATTATCATCTTGACATTTCTTCTACCTCATAGTATGGACGTATATGTACATAACTTGAAATATATACCAGGGCTTTGCAGAGCCCACCCATCCCTCTTCATTAGGGCAAGTATGACAGTGAGGGTTGGCTCCCAGCCTTTGAGTTGGCAGTGGGATGAGAGCACCCACTCATTTTGCCCCTAGCATTTCCACTAATTGCTTCATTCCCTCCCCCTGAACAGAAACCCTGAAATCGTGTCTCCAATTATTTCTGCTCAGGTGAGACATAGCAGTCCTTCTGGCTGCCTTACCCATACAATGTCCTCTGTGTGGAACAAGGAGCAAGTGACTTGGCCTTTCTAGTGTGTAATTTCTCTCCAGAAGTGTGTGAGACTACCACACAGTCTTGTCTCTCGTAGTAGCATTGGTCGCATTGTACTTGTTACTGTGGTGTTTAAAACACACATACATGCACATATAAACACACATGCTAACAGGAATACTTGCTGCTTACAAATAACCAAGTATCTAACTCACACATTCTCTATTTAAAGAAAAAAGTTAGAAAAAAAATTGGTCTCCTTTCAATGTCTTCTTTTTTACAATGACATCCCTTTTATTATTAATTTCTATAAAGTGTTGGGTTTTATGTGTCATTGTATAACATTTACATGCCCCCATGTGCAAATACACAGACTCCCACACATAATGGACATGTTTGTGTATATGCACACTCCATAGCCCTACAGATTGCTTCTTAAGCTTGCTTGAGTTGAAGACATTAACTGCCTTCAAAAAAGCTTTGGTGAGATGTTTTTAAATATTTGAAGAGAGATTAATTCATCCTCTTACAAAACCTGGGTGTGAAAGAACTTAGGGGGCAGCATTACTCTTTCCGAATTACTTCCTTGAAATCTTTAACACTAATGAGTCTGGGTGGGGGCACTCAGAACAGTGATTGGATGCCAATAGGATTTTTTACTGAGTAAAAGTTAATAAATGATTTCCTATCTTCCCCATTTAACAATGTTAGCTCATTCACTAACTGGAAACCAGGTTTGTTGAATTTAACTTTTTAATAAACAAACTTGTTTTCTTGGTGTAGTATAGCCACCTGATGTATGTAATGACTTAGTTGATGGGCTCTGGGCTTCTAATACTGTCCTGTTTCTACTCCGAGGCCTTGATAAAGGACGGTAGCATCCTGCCACCTAATTCACTTTACTCCTGTTAGTCCCATCTAGCTTGCATTGTCTCCATGTACCTTTCCTCCATTTGCCCACCATGATTTGAGTGAGTTTTGGAAGTGGAGTTTTCCTACAAGGCCAACCTTGCTAGTGCAAGAATGCAAATAAAAGACAAAGATGTGAGCATTAACAGAGCCCTTTTCTTGTGATACATTTTTGTTGGTAGAAATTGTTTATATTTTGACTTTCTCTTCCAACACTAGACTTGCAGACTTGAGTCTGCATAATCTTACGACATCTACTTGGTTCTGGGTGGAGGTGGATTCGAGCAAGGAAGTGACTGACTTCTCCATTCTCTCTCTGAACTGGCTGTCAGGAGACCTGTCGCCAACAGGAGCTGTTGCCTTTGTGAAAAGGACAGAGCCATTTGTTGTCTATTATTTGTAAATTAAGTTTAGTGTCCATAGTCCAGATGAAGACATTATTTCTAAACCTTTAAAATCAGAGGATAAATAAAGTAGCAAAAGTAAAAGTAGGCAAAATTCTAAATGGATTTTAGAAAATATTTAATTATAAGCCAAGACTATTGTGAAATTGTTTTCAAACAATGGTGTATACATTAGTTTCATAGCTGATAAAAATGTGTGCTTTTCATGGATCCCAGACTGCTGTCTGGAAGGCCAGCATGGGACTGATCTAGACCCCTAAACATGGATGTCAGTGAGGGGCCCCTGCACTCTAGGGGGCCCCTGGTAGTGGATCAGTATTTTTCCGTGGTGTAAGAAGGGACTTTGAGAGCCCATCCCATGTGAAGGGATGCACTCTAGGCCTGGACACATGGGGGAGGGCCTAGGCCCCGCCCAGGATGATGTGGTGGACTTTGGGGAGCCCCCGTGGAGGGGCCTACAGTGAGGAGAGAGCAGGTGGGGATTTGGGGGGCAGGGAAGGGAGAGGGAGAAGGATTGACATGTGAAGCAAGCTTGTTGCTAATTTGAACTAATTTTTAAAAAGTGTGCTTTTTAGAAATGTAATTTATTTGATTTTTTTTCCCTTTACTGACCTAGACGTAACTTTTACTTCTGATGAAGCCTGTCTGTTCACACTGTCTTCATTTTACCTTTCCTCCAATCAGAATTAGTTCTGATGCTTCTGAGTTTGGCAGATGTGTTAGAGGGACATTTTGAAAGAACCGGAGAATTGATCAGCAAACAGTATAATACTTAGTGAATTTCACA